GATTATAGAGATTAATATATCAAGGAGCTTAGGCAAGCCCAGCTCTGAGACTCCCCTTGGATCCACACAGGGATTCCACAGGGACCTCTCTGCTTTTCATATTGGATTTTGGTTCAGAATGTTAAAGAAGATACTCTTTTCACACTTCTAGAGATCAGGAAATTTTATTTAGAATAGAACAGGGATGCTCACATGTTAGTAACCAGAAATCCAAATAAATACCAAATCTCCCTCCTTCAATTTGACTCAAATCTGGACATATTTATTACATACCTACTTATGTGCTAAGGATAGGCTACAAAGATTTTTTTTTAAAATTTCACTAAAAGAGATCATGAATGAAATAAAGGTGCACACACCAGGTTAGCTTGTCTCCTAATTCCTCAGCCCAGACTCTCCACCCTCATCAATTCCTTAGCTGAGGCCCTCTGGGCTAGCTTAGCTTCTGACACGGAGGAAAACTATTTGGTCCCTCTACCACTCTGGGATTTTGTGACCACATCTCTTTGGCTCCACTTATGTCCAGTAAAAAAAAATTGGGAAGGCACTGAGGAAGGGAAAAGCAGGATAGCCATATTGGTATAGATCAGGTCAGGAAAGACTATGCGATGAACCCCAATGCAGGGAAGTCAAGGCTGGTGTCAAAATAGGAGAGTGAGTTTCCTGTGCCTGGCATGTCTTCCATCCCTCCCTTTTTTTTAACCTATTGATACAAAGATGACTATGCCATGACCTCTGTCCTTAATGACAACACAGCCATATAGAAAGAATGACATGCACATTTTATCAGAGTGCTCTTGTAATAACAATAGGTAGTATTTATATAGCACTTTAAGGTTTACAAAGTGCTTTACAAATATTTCATTTTATCCTCACAATAACCCTTGGTGGTATTATCATCCCCATTTTACAGATGAGGAAACTGAGGCAGTTAGAGGTTACATGACTTGCTCAGGGAGACAGAGCTAGTAAATGTACAAGGCCAGATTTGAACTCATGTCTTCCTGAGTCGAAGTCCAGTGCTCTATCCACAGTACACACTAGCTGCCTCTTGTGATACCTTATCATAATGTGGAAGTGACCCCTGGGTCCTTGAAGCTTAGGGTGGGTGAGAGTAAATTCTAGCAGGTCTTGTCAGCCCAGAAGGACTTTGATTACTGTACTGTAATCGACTAACTCTATTATCCAAGAACCAAACTATCTAAACATTCATCACCAGGTTGGCTATAGGAGGATGAATTTGGGGGCCACAACAACTTTAGAATACCTGTCTATTAAACTAGAGAGGGGCTGGGGTCTGAACTGATGGAAGGAGTATCAACACTGATGAAATTATTGGTTCTTGGAATACTGAAAAAATTGCACACATACACATAAACTTGTGTTTCAGCACACACAGGGTGGGGAACCTTTGTCCTCGAGGCCACATGTGGCCCTCTAGGTCCTCGGGTGCAGCTTTTTGACTGAGTCAAAGTTTTACAGAACAAATCCAGACTGTTTTTTGTGTTTTGTGTCATTTTTGTGTCCTTAGAGCCTGGCCCAGGGCTTTGCACATAACACACACTCAACAAATATTTGTTTCATTGAGTCAACCCAATAAATCTAGTAAGGGAGGTAAGAGCTCAACTTTGGACTTCTTTTAGACTCAGAGGAACTGATGATTTAAAGTCTCATTTGCCACCCATCCCCTTCCATCCTTCCCAACTGTGACAGCCTAGCAGTCGTTCTCAGGCTGCCTCAACCATCTCAGAAGCTGGAATTTCCTATAGTGGTCAGTTTTCCACCTTTATTCAAAAATTCAGATCAACAAACATGTACTAAAAATACCTACTCTAGGGGCAGCTGGGTGATACAGGGGATAGAGCACCAGCCCTGAAGTCAGGAGGCCCTGAGTTCAAATCTGGCCTCACACCAAACACTTGAAACTTACTAGCTGTGTGACCCTGGGCAAGTCACTTAACCCCAACTGCCTAAAAAATAAAACAAACCCCACCCCCCCAAAAAAACCCCACCTACTCTGTACTCAGCACTATGCAAGGAACTGGTGATTCAAGGACAAAAATGAACCGTTCTTTGTCCTCAGGGAGCTTTCAGCCAACTGGGGAATCGACTCTGTACACAAATAATTTGAGGCTGCAGAAGGCACCAGCAACTTGGAAAGGGCAAATGTGGTCAAGGAAGGCTTTGTGGAAGAGATGGGACAGAGCTGAACCTTAAAGGAGGGAGGATACAAAATCTAATCTAATGTAAAGATAAAGAAGGATTATATTCCAGACATGTGAGATAGAATTTAGGAAGTTTCAGAAATGCTGGATTTCCCTTAACTTTGTTGCTGCTGCAGCACTCAGGTAAACAAGGGGTATGTACCTGTAAAATGGAAGGATTTAAAATGTAAAGGCCTTGCTGGCCACATCCATCCTGCTGAGGAATAATTTCAGAACCATAGGAAGGTTCCAAGGAGATCTGGTCAAAGGTTCCTGCCTTTTGTAGAAGGCCTGGGAAAACCTGAGATGATCTATCCAGAGGCTAGTTGGGTAGTTGAACCCCAGTGCTAATGATCATCTATGTGTAGCTCTCTTTGGGAGTATTGCTAGCAAGAGTCATGACCTTCCTGGTGTATGGGTGTGGTGCACCTTGGGTGTACCCTAACATCTATATCCCAGTGAAATCAAACTGAAATGAATGTCAACCTGAATTCAAATCCGGCCTCAGACACATGATACTCACTAGCTGTGTGACCCTGGGCAAGTCACTTAACCCCGACTGCCTCACAAAAAAAAAGAAAAATGAAATGAATGTCAAGGGTGGCCTCGAAAGGGAAGGGGAGGAGGTATCACATAAGGCAACATGCAGAGGTATGTGCAAAGAAAGAAAAGTAGCTTGCCAGCAGCTGGTACCATCAACGGGGATTTGCCATCAGACCCTGGTTTCCATGTAGAAACTGCTGAAGGATGTTTCCAGAACTAGAGCTGGCTTTCAGGAGATCTAGAATACGCTTCTTTGCTCTTCCTTCCCCTTCTTCCTTGACCTCATTTCACATCAAGATCTGTAGTTTTCCCGAAGGACCTTGCTCTCTGACATGATCTTTACTCAAAGGAAAACCTCAGTAGTTCTGCCCTAGGGGACATTCTCAAAGAAGCACTGGGAGGGAGAAAGGGCGTCTATTGGAACATTCACATTATTGTAGAATTGGAGAGCTGGAATTAATGACCTCAGAAGACATCCAGACCCAACCCACACACAAAAGGAATTTCCACAGTAACATGTCCAATGTGGTTCTCCAGCTTCTGCCTGAAGACCTTCAAGGAGGGGAAACCTACCACCTGTCTAGGCAGCCATTCCACTTTAGGTCAGCTCTAATTGTTAGGAAAATTTTCCTGAATGCCAGCCTACATTTGCCTCTTGGTAACTTCCCAGGTAGGGCAAGCATTATTATTCCATTTATAGATCAGAAAACTGAGGCTCGGAGAGGGTCTTCTGACCAGAGTGACTGGACTAGGGCACAGTTGTGATCAAACTAAAACCAAGTTCTCCGACACTGAATCTTATACCAGCACCGTGTGTGGCACATGGTAAGTACTTGATAGATTCTATCTATCTATTCTTCTATCTATCTATCCATCCACCCATCTATCTCTATTCATCTATCTCTAGCATCTGTCTGTCCATCTGTCTGTCTCTCTCATTCCATTCCACTTTGCATTGTACATAATCACCAAAAAGAAAACATAATATCCTTTCTTGTTCCCATTTTAATCCAAGGCGTGAGAGAATCTCTCAGTCTTTCCAGTGGGTGTTATGAAGCATGCTACAACTGGGTGACTGGCACCAGAGGTAGCAGAGCCAGAGCCCATAGTTCTGGGCTCTAAGTAGGTGCTGGCGCAGGGAGGGAGGCAGCACTCCTAACAGATCTTGTGCTCCCATCTCCTGCTCCAATTCTGCCTGGCCCTTGCCCTCTGCCTCCTCATCCTTCTTTTCTCTCAGCAACCTCTGCCAGTGCAGCCTGAGGCATGGGCCCAAACAGATCATCGGGACAGCAGTACTCTTCCACTTGTCCTCCACGATCTGCTGCCACCCAAGAGTTGTCTGGACCGTCCAAGCTGGCCACAGAACTGCATTCTATATACAAAAATAAAGAAACTACGGTGAAAGGGGATAGGGAGGAGAGGAGACAAGGATTATAAGGGGAAGCCAGAAGGGAATGAACCCAGCTAGGAGTTGGGAGCTGTGAAAGTGGCCCTGGGAAAACTACAAAGGTAGGTGGGGGCTGCAGAATGGATGAGAAGCACCCCACAGTCTTAGGGTCCGAGGGGCCCGCTGCAGAGAGCCAGCCTGCCTGTGCGGCTTGGGCACACATCAGCTCTATAGCCTGCTTGGTCTCTTTAGGGCTCGCCTGCGTAGAGGAGGGCAACGGGGCCAGGGCAACGGGGCCAGCGCTCCGGGCCTCTCCATATCCAGCCGCCACCTGTCTCCAGGGGCCGAGCGCGCTCTCTCTCGCCTCCCTCGGGGGAACGGGTTACACTCGTCCTAGCAACAAGGCGTGGGGCCCCGGCACTCGTCTGCGATCCCCTCCGCCCTCCCCCCGGGCAGCCTGCCCGCGTGGCTTTCTCCCGCGCGCACCCAGACACGCGCCCGCGCGCGCGCACCCAGACCCACACACGCACACCCCCGTCCCTCTCTCACTTTCTCTCCCTCCCGGCGCCTCTCCTCTCCTCTCCTCCCTCTCTTCTGCTCTCCGCAGTGTCTCTCTCCCTCGCTCTGGCTCCCTCTGCCCACACCCCGCCTAGCTCATTTGCAATGCGATGCTTACTTTGCCGCGGAGGAGCCGGCGAGTGATCTGCCCGCCGCGCACCGTCTCCCTTGGCACGGCGATGTGCGCTCCTGCTGCTGGCGCAGTCGCTGCCTGCTGCAGGGACGCGGAGGCTGGGGCCGGCCGCTCGAGGGAGGAGGCTGAAGCCGCCGCCGCCGCCGCCCTGCCCTCCTCCTGCCGCTGAGTTAGAGCCGAGGGGCGGAACCGAGACCCACACCGGCCGGCCGAATGGAGGCTCAAGACGGGGCCGGCATTCTAGGTGAGTGCGCCGGGCTCCTGCACTCTTTGCCGCGGATGCCTGCTTGGGTGCCGCCGCGGAGCAGCGGCCCTGATGCTCTGAAGGGAAACGGCTCCGGCTCGGGGTTCCCTGCCTGAGGTATCACCCGCAGCTTCCAAAAGTTCTGCCTTTGCGAGGCAACTCGTACGGAACCAGCGGCTGTGCTGCAGGGATCCCAAAGCCGGAAGTTCGGTGGGGCCGGAGCAAGGTGGCCAGCCCCTCATCCCTCCCCGATGGTCCGAGGAAGGGGTTTCTTACCCCCCCACTGATTTTCTCCAGGCAGTCGATTGCCCTTCCTCTGCATTCATTCATTCCCACGCAGGGGAGCAGAGGCTTGTGACCCACCCATCCTTCAGACGAGTCAGAACCGGGTCTCCCATACCAGGTAGCTTGAGTTTTCCAGCCCTTGGTGGGTGGGGGGAGATGTATCTGGGAAAAGTGGTCAGAGGCGAGTAGGCTGGCCACCCTACCCAGTTTCCAAGGACAATGCCATTTGCCTCTAAGTATGTCTGCCCCGAGCTTCCTTGTCATGCCGTCACTGAATCATACCCCAAAGACCCCTAGTTGTGAAATTAACCTGTCTCTAACTATGGCAGCCCAGCTGGACCTCAGGACATGAGACAGTGATGGTGCTTTCCAGACAGTCACTTTGGACTAGGGAATCTGAGGCCCTGATCAGTCCTGCTGTTTCTGTAACTTCCAGGGACTCTGCCAACCTCTTGCCGTGAGGGGGCAAAACCTAGGCAGAATTTCAGGGCTAAATGCAGGGCAGAGCAGTGATCTTGATACCCCAGGCCTACCTGGTACCCAGTGCCTGTAGTCTGTGTAGTTGGGGACCTTTTCCCCATCTCTGGGGTGTTCTTTATGGAATCCATAAGCTAAAGCAAATCTTTGATGGCTGTCTGGTGCTCAGTATGGGGAAGGCTGGGCAGGTGAGAGCTTGGCTGGGCTGGACGAGAGACCCTTACAAGAAAGACCACTTCGATGTCAGGGACCTTCAAGGTCTGCTGGGCAAAGCTGCCAAAATTGACAGGCTCCCTTCCCTGCTCTGCTGTTTTATTTTCAACCTGACAGAGCAGAGCAAGAAGCCCTGGGGAAGAGGAGAGGGTGAGGGAAATGAAGCCAGCTCTGGAGCACATTAGCTGCTTAGAAACCATATTGACAGGCTGGCAAGAGACTCAGAAGCTGAGGGGAGAGGCCCTGGTTGGACCTACAATACCAGGAGCCTGCATGCATTTGGGCTTTCGAAACATGTGGGGAAACTTGTAGGATCAAGCACGTCTCAAGGGTGAATGCTGCTTTCCTAGGGGAGCTGCATGTGCACAGGGTGGGGCTCAGGGGCCTGAAGTCCCAGGAAAAAAGCCCTGCAGCTCCTACAGTGAGGCCAAAGGAGAATAGCCTGACCACTCTCACCCATCTGGCCTTCTGAGAAGAGAAGTCAGGGTGTCACAGAAGAATGCTCCTCACACAAAAGCTTAACCCATCTTCCTTCCCAAACTTAGCATTTATCAACTATTTCAGACCCCGGTAGCTTAACGGCATCCATGTGCCCTTCCCCCACCCCCAACCTAACTTTGGCTGCTCTTGTAATATTAGGCAGTCCACTGGCATGTTCTGAAGTGGGTGGGTGGAAGGATGGAAGCTTCTGTGACTTCAAATGAGCCCTCTAATTTAGGTAGGTCTAGGAACCCTTAGCCTCAGTTCCGTAGAGTGTTTAGTCTTTCACTTTGAGAAGCTTGGATTCAGGTCTGGATGGCTCCACAGGTAAAAGGTGAAGCACTATCTTTGGGAAGATGCTGGCCCTCCCCAGATAGCTGGAGGTGATGGAGAGAGGCTATGATTAGAAATCCTTTTCACCTTCTCGGTGGCCCTGGGTGTGCCTGTGCCTGGAATATCACTGAAAAGTAGCTTTCTGTAGAGCCCAAGGGGGGGAGGAGTGGGAGAGAGATGGTTACTGGAGTGTGGCCATGAGTCAAAATTCCCAGTTCCCCTTACGCCTTTCTCTAATGCTTCAAGTCCATGCTTCATCATAACAACAGCTAGCATTTATACAGCACTCTAAGGCTTATAAAGCACTTCACTTATGTTATCTCATTTGATCCTCACAACAACCCTGTGAATTAGGTGCCGTTATCATCCCCCTTTTTTACAGATGAGGAAACTGAGGCTGAGGTGTAGTGACTCAGCCAGGGTCACACAGTTAGCATCCGAGGCAGTTCTCTCAAGTCCAACCCTATCCTCTGCACCACTTGAACCCCAAAGATGACTGCCAGGATCACGTTGCCAGGAAGAGGCCATTTAGACTGGAGAGCAGTAGTCAAAGAAAGAGCAAGGCCAGTCTTAAAAGGCTCTTCATCACCCCCCACTCGCTCATGGCTCCAGATTACTACCAGGGCAAAGGTTGGGTTTGAGACTGTTGGCACCTTTCCAAGTGATGGCAAGAAGGACTTTTCAGCAGCCAGCTGGACACCCTATGGTCTAATTACAGTTGACCCCCCATACGTCAAACCAACAAGGGATTTGATAAATGCCTACTGTTCTCTAGGCATTGTAGGGGTTACAAGGAGGTAGAAGGCATGGCCTCTGCCTCAACAAAGCCTAGCTGGGCGGCAAAGAAAGTGATCTCTCCTTCCTCAAGTTTCTTTAGCGCATTTTGTCTGGATCTCTCCTTTGCCCTTATCACATTCTGCCCTGTCTACTAATTTGTGAACCCATCATAACCTCTCCATTACACTATAAACTCCCTGAAGGCAGGACTGGGTCATTCCCTGCCCCCCCCATCTTTGTATTTCCAGTGCCTAGCACAGCACCTTCCATGTAGTAGATGCTTTATAAATGTTTGTGAACACATGAAAAAAAAAAAACTAGAAAATGGAAGCAGCAGAGACTTAAGCTCTAGATTTTGTGCTATGGGTGCTTTAAGAATTCAGAAGGGTCATCGTGTCTTGGAGTAGTCAAGGAGAGCTTTGCACATAGAGGGAACTGTCACTAATTTCTTAAAGGAAGGGTCAAAGTTGGGAAGGTGGAGAGGACAAGGGGGCACATTTCAGATGAGAACATCAGCAAAAGTGGAGAGGTGGGAAGGGTGCCATCTTTAAAGTGGAGGGCAGGGAAAGGTAAGGGAATTAAGGAAAAGTCAATCAACCAACAGGCATCATGGTGAAATAGAAAGTCACTGGATCAGCAATCAGAAGGCCTGGGTTGGAATCTATCCTGGGCAAGTCACCCCACTTTTCTAGGCCTCAGTTTCCTCATCTGTACTAGGACCAGATGATCTTTAAGGTCCCTTCTATTGAAGTGCCTTACTCCTAATAAGAACTCAATCAATGTTCATTGGCTGTTGCCTAAATACCATGAACCTGTGAAGCAGGTATGGAGCCTCAGTTCTGTGCCCATACTTGGTACTGACCTTGGTACTATAGGCTACTGTTTTTGCTCTCAGGGAGCTTTTAGTCTAATTGGAAAGACAAGAAGAAATGAATGAACAGATGAAATGAGAATCAGCATAAGGGCAGCAAGAGTTGAGAGGCTGAAGGTGTTAGTGAGGGTGCCTGTTAGCCTGAATGTAGGAGAGGGAGTCAGAGCCCTTGGCCTTGGCTCTCCTTCTGTCTGTAATGCTGTTCACCTAGCAGCTCAGAAAGTCCTTCTTCCGTCTTCACCTCTAATGGTCCTTTCCTCACCACCCCCTAGGAAACGAGTCTGAAGTTCACTCTCATGACCATCTCCCTCTTAGCAAACCTGTGATGTTCCTAAATGGCCAACCCAGCTGGCCCCTGGCCCCCTCCACCCCAGCACAAAGGACACAGAAAATAGGTCAGCATCACGGGCACAAATGTAACTAATACGTTCCTATCAGAAATCAATCCTCTGGTGAAATCCATCTGCTACCCATCCTCCTGCCCAGAGGTTGAGGACAGTTGGGGATGGAAAGCATTTTTGTCAACACAGAGCCCAACGTTCAGGTATGCCCAGTGTGGCATTCTGGTCCATGAAACACAACTCTTCCTTCTTCTATTTGCATAGACCGGAGGGTGGGTGATTGTGCTGGATTTAGAAGGGTAGCTGCTTGCTTCTTCCTACGTAGGAGATGGGCCTCTGACTTAAATGTCTCCGGAATCAGCAAAATGGTTGAGCAACCAGGTTGACAACTCTACTCATTTAGTGCTGTCCTTGAACTTGGTTAATTTCACTCCCCGCTCCAGGAAAAAAGCTAAATTTTGCTATGGGCTAGACGTGCCTGGGGCAGGACTCAGAAAAGTCTTTGCATACTTTGCTCATACACTTGCCTCTTTACAGCCAGCCGGCCATGGACTACAGGAATAAGGTTTTGTGGCTGAAAAATATTGCTTGGGAATGGTTTCTTGGTGACAGCACAGAACATCCAGGCAGGGCAGGAGGAAGTCTTATGACCTTATTTCTGCCAAAGGACGAAGAGAATGGTGATTGGGCAACTTGGGGATCAGGGCCCTTTCCAGGGATGCTATGACATTGACCGAAACTATTTTGGCTCTCCCCAACATTGGAAAGAGTGATGAATCTGAATTCAGAGTTTCTGGTTTCAAGTCCTGACTCTACCACCTGATACCTGTGTGACCCTGGGAAAATCCTTTTACTTCTCTGGGCCTCAGTTTCTTCTTCAGTAAGATGAGGGACTTGGGTTAGATGACCTCTGAATTCTTTGCCGCTCTAAACTTATGATCGCCAATATGACCCTACCACTAATGCAAGACCCTGTTTGATATTGAAAGATCTTTCTTTTGCCAAAAGCTTCACATCTAAGACAGAGCATTTGTGTGTCTGGTCCTCCAGAAAGCCAACTCCTGGGTCCTGGAGCTGGAGGGTGGTGGGGGAGCTCAGATTAATGAGGCAGGGAAGCCTCAGGGAAAGCTATTCAATTCAAAGAAACCTCAGACTTGTCAGACAGGAAGAGTTTTGTTTCCCTGCTTATCTAGCTGGGTTTCCCAGCCCAGTCCTGGCAAAAG